CTTACATTTACGTATATTTATCTATATACACTTGCATATACGTACATTTATATGCATACAAATTTGCATATACGTATATTTATATATAGACTCTTACATATACGTATATCTAGATATATACACAATCACAAGCTAACAAACTATACACAGGACTACTCATTAATCTTCAAATCTTATCATTTCCGCCCCTGTCCCTCTACCACCCACTTCTGCACCGTTCATACAGCTGTGAGGTGTGTACAGTGTGTCTGCAGGCGTCCCAGTCGTCTAGCACACACATGATCCTGTGCACGGGATGTGCACAAGCCTTTCACGACTTCTGTGTGGCGGACGTGCCACAGCAACAGGAGAAGCGAGCGCATTGGAAGTGTGCCGATTGCAAGGTACGCTATCTGCTGTGCCAGTGTGTGTGCTTGTTTGATATAAGCGTTATGTGTGTGCGGTTGGCCCATGTGTGCCGGATAACCTACCGCGATCCTCCTTACTCCCAAAATAACTGGCTACTATACCACCACACACCACCACCAACACCGCAGACAGCACCTATGCACCGTATAACTATCCACAACCACAACCCCACACACCAGCTAGTACCTACCTCCGCATATCACGACGTTGTCATGGTGACACTCACCTCTTGTTACGCCCATCCGCCCTATCTCCCGCTACAGACCTGCGACGGCTGTGGGTTAGAGGCCGCTGATACCACCGGCGAGAACGCTAAGGGGATGGTCACATGCATCGGGTGCTCGCTGACCACCCATCTACATTGCGCCTACCCGAAACTGAAGACACATCCGGAAAAACCGTACCGGTGCTTGGCCTGTGCGCTGTGTCGTCGGTGTGGGACGCGCCAAGCGACGGCGTGGCATGAGCTGCACTCCCTGTGTGACATCTGTTTCAAGGTGCGGCTTTAGATGCAAGCTAAGTATAGTTTGGATGGTTTGGTATTTCATATGGACTGAGTGGTCCGGTTAGCCGGTTAGGTATACTATCTGTGAAGGGTTGTCTGTGTGCGAAGGTGCGGTTTAGGTCCAGAACAAATATAATTTGGACATTTCGGTGCTTAATATTTACCCAGTGATCCGGTCACTTGTCGTATCTGCGAGATTTGGCCATTGTAGCACCCTTTGGATATGGCTCGGCTGTGGCTGTTTGGCGGATGTCCGATGTTTGTGAAGTATTTGTATCACTCGCGCCTATAGTCCGTTGTGTGAGTAATTTGCGGTATGTGATCGGATGTGGTTTGCAATCCTGTTGTGTATGTGTATGTGTATGTGTATGTGTATGTATATATATATGTATATGTATATGTATATGTGTATGTGTATGCTTATGTATAAGTGTATGTGTATGTGTAGGTGTGTGTTCTCACACTCACCCCATTGGAGAGACACACACCACACCCCGCGCAATGGTCAATGCGATGAGGTTGCGAAGACCATATTAGCATACGTCCATTATATTCGAAGCTATGAGCTCGACTTTTATGACGGTTCGATTCCATTTTTAGGGTTTATGCATACAAATAATAAGTCATACGTGTTTGTGTATGTATTATGCTGAGATATAGTTTGGCGCGATTCTAGGGTTTAGAGGTTTTGGAGGGGAAGGATGGGCGTACGTGTTTGTGTAAACGTTATGTCGAGGTATGGTTAAAGCGGTGGGATTCGCATCCAATCACATTTGCTGATACAAAAGTCCTCAATCTAAAAAATCAGGTCAAACAACAGGAAAAGGAGTCGCGAAAACTGGGCTATGTATGTCCCATGTGTGATAGCACGTACATAGAGAGCACCAACAACATGATCGCCTGCGATAACTGCGAGAAGTGGGTGCACTATGTGTGTTTGAAGATCACACCGGAGGACGGGATGGAGATAGAAGACGACATGATGTTCTACTGTGGGGGCTGTCAGCAAGGGAATAAGGCGCTGAAGAAGAAGAACGATGTATGTACGCTCAGATACACCCGCCGAATGCATACAAGTACATATATATAT